AGGACAATTTAAACAGGAGCCAGTTACATAGTTAGTCTGGCTGAAAAAAAGACAAAAGTCCATCCAGTTAAACCATTAAAACCCCACAGTTGATAAACGTGATTTTGCACTTCCACCTGGGGGGTGCGGTGCCGCCGGCAGGTCGCTTCTGCTGTGAACACTCACAGAAGAAGCCAATCTGCACGTGCCGGTAAACGAATATCCAATGGCACCCGCTGATCGTTGGGCAGAGGCACAGAATAGAGCTCTGTCTATGTAAACAAGGCAGAACTCCATTCTGAAAGGGGGAAGTGATGGATTTTGTGTCTCTGCAAAGCAGGGTACAGATCCCATGTTTGGCTCTCTCTGCAGCAGCTGAAAGCCGACTTCTTCTCCTCTCCCTCCGGCTTTCAGCTGCTACAGAGAGAGCCGTACAGGGGATCAGTTCCAGTAATTGCTCCCCACCATACCCATCACCCTCCCTGTGCACTATACATTTTCCCCTGCTACCCAGGCCCCCCTGTGTGCTCCCACCCCCACAATGCTGCCGGCTTGCCTCCTCTCCTTTCCACCGGCACCTGCAGGCACACAATAGGATCCATCAGGATGGAGAGTGGGGGAAGGGTCCGGTAAATATGGCACATATTTAAATGGTAAATATGTCACAGCCTCTTCTTTTCCTGAATGAACTCAATGAGTAATAGGTACCGATCACTCACTGTGTTCATAACTGAAGCATAGTAAACTGATTTTTTTTTTTTGGGGGGGGGAGCTGTATGGGGCCCTGTGGTTTCTAACAGCAGCCCTGATTTGCACTATACACCATCAGTTCTTGATATGCACCTGTCTGATGGGGCGTTAACCAATTTGCATGACTCCACCCACTGCCCTGAAATGAGGAACAACCCTTCATTTTTTTGGGGGGGGGGGTGAAATAGAATGAGACATGCGGATACCTTCTTAGAAGGCTTTCCATTGCTCTGTATATTACATATAATGAATTCCCTGTCACCCTTTTTCTATGTTTAGGTCACACAGAGAGCCGTGATAGATATAGACGAGATCGGGACCGAAGCCACCGCCATCACTGGTGCCGAAATCATTGCGTATGCCTTACCTCACACCATCCGAATTAACCACCCTTTCATCTTCATGATCTTCGATGACAAGTTCAAGTCCTTACTCTTTATGGGGAGAGTCACTGACCCGACAAAACATTAAAGACTCAGCCAAGTCTGCAAGGGATTGTCAGCACCAGTATCGCCCGGCAAAGGAATTAAAATCCAGCTCTGCCCACAACTGATCTTTCAGATTCGGATGATCACCGGTCAGCGTAACCAACATTCATATCTCTCCTGGAGGCTCCATTGCTGAGGTTCCCATGCAGTAGTCTGTGTCTCTGCCCCTCCCACAAAGCCACGTTGAAGGTGTTGCCCTTTCACAGACTCCAAAATCGTATATTTTACTTGATAGAGAATCTATCTGGGAAGAGTGACACCATCAATAGGTGCTCCAAGCAGCTGCTGATGAACTTTGTGCTCTAAAATTTGGTTGTTTTAGTATTTTATATTTTTAATCTAGTTCCATACAGACTGTTCCCCATCTTGAAGCCATGATGAAGGAGGTGATGTAAGGCCCCTGAAATGTGTTGGCTCTGTAACGATGTCTTTTATCTGATCTTTTACTAGAATAAAGTCATATGTGAATGATTCATTCTGAGTGCGGTGCTTCAATCTCAGCTCCATTTTCTTTTAAACCAAGAATAGTGTTTGGCATGGGGAAGCTGGAAGCCCAGAATCCAGACACCCTGTCTAGATGCCTCTACAACTCATAGTAGCCCTAAGCCATGAGGTTCCAGCCAGGGGTGGACTGACCATTTGGAAACTCGGGCACTGCCCGAGGTCAGTAGGGGGCCCCATGAGATGCCCCTGGTACCTTTTTCATAGGTTTTTTTGAGTTTGGACAAGGACACAGGGGCCCCATGATCTCCTATTGCCCGGGGGCCCCATGAGTTGTCAGTCTGCCCCTGGTTCCAGCGCTACCCATCCATTTTCCTAACCATCATTTGACTTTTGAATTTGCATAGAACTGGCTAAGGTGGATCTCTACTGGCTGGTGGCATAGAGACCCAATAGGGTAAAAAAATAGAGGGCGCTGCAACCCGATATCTATGACAGATACTGTCACGTACCTGATAGGAGACTGAATTGGCGAGGTCGGCCTCACTTGTGTCACTAGCCCTGACCCCGCTGAGGTTGGAACAGAGGGCATCTAGGGACCAGGGGGACAAGAGTGCCAGTGTTGTTGCTTGTGGCTCTTGCAGATGATGGCCTGGAAAGGCAGTGTATCCTCTGATTATTATACTGTAGTAGCAGACAGAGCAGGTTCTGGGTAATGCCCGATGTGAGGTTCTGGGTAATGCCCGATGTGAGGTTCTGGGTAATTCCCAATGTGCAGCAGAGCAAGTAGGTAGCCAGGACACAGAACAGGAGCAGGGTCAAAGGAAGCCAAGGTCATCAACAGTCGGGCAGCGAGGTACAGAATCAGTAGTAGAAGCCAAGGTCAGGAGCAGAGCCGAAGGCAGGAACCAGGAGCAGGAGAGTAATCAGAGTCGGGTCAGGAACAAGCCGGGTCAGCGCCAAAGGAATCGCACAGGAAACAAGCAGGGCACTGGGGGAAGGTGAAGACCAGTCAGCACTGAATGAGCACTGAGGTGCTCTTTAAATAGCCCGCCCAGCGCCGACAGGCGCGCCTGGGTCCTAGTGTCTGCCAGTTCCGTCATTGGTGACAGGCTCTCCTGGGTCCTAGTGCCCGTCTGCCTGTATGCCTTGTCGGGATCCTGCGCATGTGCAGATTCATGCACTGCGGCGATCTTCTTGTTCCCTGACAGATACTATCCAATACCATTATGGGCACCCACAGGAACACAATCTATGTAAAACATACAAAATTGTCTCCCTTGTATGAGTTAGGGTATGAGGCAATCATCACTGAAGACTACGCCTTGTATGGGCCACATGTGTATGTTTGATGGCCAACATATGCCTATCTCCACGAATAGTGGTTTAATATTACATCCATAGTACCCCTTATATTCTCTTTGGGGGGTACCTTCTCTCCTTCTGTGTTGCCTTCATGCTCGCTCAGGGATGATATTACATCTGAGATACCATTCTTACGACTGAGACATACACTATATTGCCAAAAGTATTGGGCCACCGGCCTTTCCAAGCACATGACCTTTAATGGCGCCCCCCAGTCTTAGTCCGTAGGGTTCAATATTGAGTTGGCCCCGCCCTTTCCACACACATGAACTTTAATGGCCCCCCAGTCTTAGTCCGTAGGGTTCAATATTGAGTTGGCCCCGCCCTTTGCAGCTATAACAGCTTCACCTCTTCTGGGAAGGCCGTCCACAAGGTTTAGGAGGGTGTCTATGGGAAGGTTGGACCATTCTTCCAGAAGCACATTTGTCAGGTCAGGCACTGATGTCGGGGGAGGGGGCCTGGCTTGCAGTCTCCGCTCTAATTCATCCCAAAGGTGTTCTATGGGGTTGAGGTCAGGACTCTGCAGGCCAGTCAAGTTCCTCCACCCAAAACTGGCTCCTCCATTTCTTTATGGACCTTGCTTTGTGCACTGGGGTGCAGTCATGTTGGAACAGGAAGGGGCCATCCCCAAACTCCTCCCACAAAGTTGGGAGCATGAAATTGTCCAAAATGTCGCCTTAACTAGTTGCCGACCGCAGATAGCCGAATGACGGCTGCACTGCGGCCGGCCAGTTCTGGGTGGACGTCATATGACGGCCTCCCAGAACGCGCTCTCCTGCACGCCCCAGGGGGCGCGCACCCGGCGATCTCCGTGATCGCTGTGTCCTACGGACACAGCTGATCACGTGATGTGGTAAAAGGCCAATCACAGCGGCCTTTTACCACGTGATCAGCGGTGTCCAATGACACGCTGATCAGAGGGAAATGCAAGTGCCGGTTCTCGGCTGCACTTTCCTCATGCTGTCAGATCGTGAGGAAAGTACTGCTGAGAACCGGCAGTTGTGAAAGCGGGGATCGGCACCGATCATCAGGGCCCTGATGATCAGTGCCCTGATGATTGGTGCCCAGCAGTGCCACCCGCAAGTTCCGCCCACCTGTGCCCAGCAGTGCGCCCACTAGCTCCGCCCACCTGTACCCAGCAGATCACCCACCTGTGCCCAGCAGTGCACCCACCTGTGCCACTCTGCAGTGTCACACACCTGTGCCCAGAAGTGCCACCTACCTGTGCCCAGCAGTGCCACCCACCTGTGCCCACCCACCTGTGCCCACCAGTGCCACCCACCTGTGCCCACCCACCAGTGCTGCCCACCAGTGCCATCCACCAGTGCAGCCCAGCAGTGCTGCCAGTCAGTGCCACCAGTCAGTGCCCAGGGGTTGTGCCAGTCAGTGCCGCCAGTCAGTGCCCAGCAGTGATGCCAGTCAGTGCTGTCTATCAGTACCCATCATCAGTGTCACCTATCAGTGCCGCCTATCAGTGCTGCATATTAGTGCCGCCTATCCGTGCCACCTCATTAGTACTGCCTATCAGTGCCCTTTAGTGCTGCCTATCAGTGCCCTTTAGTGCTGCCTATCAGTGCCCATCAGTGCCGCCTCTCAGTGCCCATCAGTGCTGCCTCATCAACGTACATCAGTGAAGGAGAAAAAATACCTGTTTGAAAAATTTTATAATAGAAACAAAGAAACGTTTTTTTTTTTTTTAAATTTTTTGCACTTTTTTTATTTATAGCGCAAAAAGTAAAGCGCCCAGTGGCGATTAAATACCACCAAAAGAAAGCTCTATTTGTGAGAAAAAAATGATCAAAATTTCATATGGGTACAATGTTGCATGACTGCGCAATTGTCAATCAAAGTGCGGCAGCGCTGAAAGCTGAAAATTGGCCTGGTAAATAAGGGGGTATAAGTGCCCGGTAGGCAAGTGGTTAAGGGGCCAAGCCCAATCCCTGGAAAACACCCCCACACCATAATCCCCCCTACACCAAACTTTACACTTGGCACAATGCAGTCAGGCAAGTACTGTCCTCCTGGCAACCACCAAACCCAGACATGTCCATTGGATTGCCAGACAGAGAAACGTGAGAAGCGTGACTCCAGAGAACATGTCTCCACTGCTCTAGAGTCCAGTGGCAGCGTGCTTTACACCACGGCATTCAACGCTTTGCATTGCATTTGGTGATGTAAGGCTTGGCTGCTCAGCTATTGACTCTGGCGACTTCTGCGCACTGTGCGCTTCAGCATGCGCTGACCCCGCCCTGTCATGTGACGTGGCCTACCACTTGGTGGCTGAGTTGCTGTTGCTCCCAGTTGCTTCCACTTTGTTAGAAACCCACTAACAGTTGAGCGTGGAATATTTAGTAGCCAGGAAATGTCCCTTCTGTTGATGACGGAACACAGCTTCTGGTGATGACGGGACACACCTGTTATTGATGATGGGACACACCTTCTGGTGATGATGGAACACACCTTCTGGTGATCCTGGAACACACCTTCTGGTGATGATGGGACACTCCTTCTGGTGATCCTGGAACACACCTTCTGGTGATGATGGGACACACCTTCTGGTGATCCTGGAACACACCTTCTGGTGATGATGGGACACTCCTTCTGGTGATAATGGAGCAAACCTTCTGGTAATGATGTTACATACCTTCTGGTGATGATGGAGCATACTTTCTGGTGATGTTAGAGCATACCTTCTGATGATAATGGAGCATACCTTCTGGTGATGATAGAGCATACCTTCTGATGATAATGGAGCATACCTTCTGGTGATGAAGGGACACACCTTCTGGTGATGTGCCCGAGGGATGAGCACCCTGGGGATTTAGCAAATAAACATGAATCCCACAGTTGCAATGGTTACATCTATTCGATCATTCCCTCCAGTGTTCTCTCAAATTGTCACATTTCTTCTTATTAAGATGTATTTATTGCCTATGATCTTGAGCTCCATCTAGTGGCCATAATGTGGTACTTTCCAGATTCGCTTTCTGGCATGTTATCAATGAACCTATCTTTAGTGCTGCCCATAATATTTGAATAACATTCGACCAGAAGAGAAAATACCCCCAAGAACGATTTTGTCTCATTCTTACGGCAGCTGGTGAGTTCGCACAGAATGAGTGCACATGCAGTTTTTTTTCTGGACAAATCGCTACGCAATGTTATTTTTATAAATACACCCCTTTGTGTATTTTAAAATAATTGCTATTATAATCGCCATATCAATCAAGCTTCCTTTCAGGCACTGGGGGCTGGAAATGGCGGCAGTCCGGCAGCTCCCAGGTTGAGGGGGACACAGGAAAGGTCTTATGTTAAATAGAGTGGTGCAGCGCTAAATAATAGAGCACAGTTTATACACACAATATATGAACATGCGTGATATCACTCTGAGGGTGATCCATAAATACAAAAGTTCAATATAATAGTGCGGATCATGGAGAGATCCTAATTCCAGGTGAGTGGACGTCCTGATCCAAGGTGTGATGATAGGTGTGAACCACACAAATAGGTGAAAAACGCACTCACCAGATGTGCGTTTAATATACGCAATATGTAATCCTGCGTCACCAGGCCATAAAACGATCATCAGATCCCAGATCAGATTGTACCCAGATCACCATCCCGGCTCCACAGAAGTAAGGTCATCCGAAACCGCTACCAGGTATCACCACCAGGGTCCTGAGTCCTCCAGATGGGCACTGCGAATGATAGCACTCACACAGAGTGCCCAATAAGAGACCTCATAGCGTGATACTGCTTTAGATACCTTTATTCAGGGTTGGTTGGTGTGGGGTACATAAAAAGATTTAAACCAAAAAGTTTACTGACCATATGCATTCCAAGGTGGTTAGGTGTCCTGCTGCTGCCCCCTGACGCGTTTCGTGCGATGCACGTATTCATAGGGTTCAGGGCTAGCCAGGACATCCTCTTCTGTGCTATTTATAAATGTGAATGGCAATTCTGCCTAATGCTCCTGCCATTTTCTCGGCTGTCCGCGCATGCGCAGAACGTCGGCGTCGTCTTCCCGCGCTACTGCGCATGCGGAAAATACTATTAGTTCTCAATCCACCTAGAACTAATAGTATTTTCCACACTCCCAAACCTAAAAAATTATTATCAGGGAAACATAAAAATCATTCTAAACAGGGAGCACAATCATCCAATGGCTTTAGGCCAAATGCCAACCAAGCATATAATGTACCCACCTATAACAGGTATGAATCCTTAAATACACTAAGGAATGAGGACGTGGGGGCACGTAATTTTAACTGGCATCCAAGGGACCAATCACCAAGGGGACAAAACTATGGTCAATCCCAACATGGACCAGTTCAATATCAACACCATAACGGACCGAAACCCAATTATTATTCTTCTGGACATCAAAATGGTAACTCTCCATATCACAATGGAGACAATATGAGTCCCAGACCTCCAGTATATTATAGTAACAATAATTCTCATGGTGGAACAATAAACCACCAGAGGGATTATAAAGATCAAAGGAGCAAACAACCCACACCGCAGAATTGTTTAGGGGGAATTCGGCACGCAAAAGAAGTGCCGCAGAAGGGGGAAGAGGTGAGGCGAAAGGGTCAACAAATTCCAAAAAACGCAAAACGTAGGAATATTCAATTTGAGTAATAGGTCTCTGACCAACCAAGAACTACAACTGTTAAACAAGGGATTAAAATTTGCCCCCAAAAAATAGACATTAGGAAATACATCAGACAGCTATCATTGAAAAAATACTTCCACAATAGACCAACCACACAGAGTATAAACAATGGTGGTAACATAAACTCTAACTTAAGAAATGCGTCATTATTCAATCCTCCTCCGCAAAACAACTCTTACATTAATGCGTTTAGAGACACAGTGTTCAAGGATCTTGAAATGATGAAAATTAAACCAGTAAACAAACAAGATTCTGCTAAGAGAGCTGTAGAAACGTTATTAGAGAAAAAGGACCTAGTAATACGTCCTGCGGATAAAGGAGGAGGAGCAGTGGTGCTAAATAAATCCGACTACATTAAAGAAGTGTACAATATTCTGAGCGATAAGGAAACATATTCCCTTCTACCAAAAAATCTGCTTAGAGAATATAAAAAAGAACTTACATCCATTACACTGTTCAACAAATTTTTATTTTTTGCCAGTTTTGGAAACAAAAGGATCCATTTCTTAATGAATTTCACATTCTGAGTTCAAATATAACAATGAAATTTGTCAATTGGCTCTAGTTTTTCTGTAAACGGAAAGTTTTCTACTATAGGCGTAATGACTACATAATGCACAATAATTCTATAGATAGATGTCTTTCCACAAATATAAAGCAAGTGATATGACTACATAACAAAGCCTAAATGGCAGAATATATTGCATAGGATTACCAAGAACAATGATAGCCAGAAGCTAAGTTGAATCATTTTAATACTTAGGATTCTCACTAGTTTTGTCTTCAGTTTGTGTCGGTTTTGCTTCTCTTGGCTTTTCTCTTGTATTCGAGGAAAGGGCTATCTCTTACAACTGTCCAGCAATAGTCAGCAAGCATTGATGGGCTCCATTTACCTTGATATCTTCTTTCCATAGCTGCAATGTCTTGATGGAAGCGCTCTCCGTGTTCATCATCACTCACTGCTCCACAGTTTGGTGGGAAAAAATCCAGATGCGAATGTAGAAAATGAATTTTTAGAGACATGTTGCAACCCAGATTTCTGTAAGTCTGGATGAGTTTTTCTACCATTTTCTTGTAGTCTGCTGTTTTATTGTTTCCAAGAAAATTTGATGTCACTGATACAAATGCTGTCCAGGCAGCCTTTTCCTTTCCACGCAACAGAGAAAGAAACTCATCATCATGAATAAGTTTACGAATCTGTGGCCCAACAAAGACTCCTTCATTTATTTTTGCAGCACTAAGTGCTGGAAATTTGCTAATCAGGTACTTGAAACCTGCTTTATTCTTGTCCATTGCCTTAACAAAGTTTTTCATTAATCCCAACTTGATGTGTAATGGAGGTAATAAGATCTTATTGCTGTCTACAAGTGCTGGATAGTTAACATTTTTTTCTCCAGGCTGCAATGACTGGCGTAATGGCCAGTCTCTTTTGGCATAGTGCATTTCTCTCGCACGACTGTCCCACTCACAGAGGAAGCAGCAGTACTTAGTATATCCACCTTGAAGTCCAAGTAGGATAGCAATCACCTTCAGGTCACCACAAATCGACCATTGATGTTCATCATAGTTGATGCACCTTAAAAGCTCTTTCAAGTTTTCATACGTTTCTTTCATTGAAACTGCGTAAGCAACTGGAACTGACGGCAGCTGATTGCCATTATGGAGCAAAACAGCTTTAAGACTCGCCTTTGAAGCATCAATGAACAGCCTCCACTCATCGGGATCATAGCATACGCCGATGGCTGAGATTAAACCATGAACATTGTTACATACAGCAATATCACCTTCCTGGACAAAGAATGGGATCAGATCTTTCTGACGATGACGGTAGAAAGACGTACGAACATCACTTGCTAGGAGATTCCACTGTTGTAGTCTTGACCCCAAAAGCTCTGCCTTGTTCTTCGGAAGATCCAGGTCTCTGATAAGATCACTCAATTCCACTTGTGTAATGAGGTGTGGTTCAGTGGGTGTGGATGGAAGAAAGTCTGGGTCATGTGAGGTTGACGACTACACGCTTCAGGTTCTTCCTCACTTGACTCAACCACGAAGGATTCTGGTGCTTTAGGAATTGGTAGCCCCTCTCCATGAGGAACTGGACGTATTGCCGATGGAATATTTGGATATTTTTTCTTCTTATTTAGCCCTTTTACAATTGGAGGCACCATACAGAAGTAACAATTACTAACATGATCTGTTGGCTCTCTCCAAATCATTGGCACAGCGAAAGGCATAGATGCCTTTTTTCCATTCAACCATTGCTCCAGTGCCGTCCCACAAGAATTGCAGCAGATATGTGGTGCCCAGCTCTTGTCCTGGTCTCCTATCTTGCAGCCAAAATACAAGTTGTAGGCTTTCTTAATCATTCCTGTTATCCTCCTTTTTTGTGAGATAAAAGTTATTTCACCGCAGATATAGCAGAAATTATCTGCTTTATTCACACAAGTTGGAGGCATTACTGAGTAGCCTATAGAAGCATAAAACGAAATGTAAAGACGAACTCCAATCAGCTACAGATACTGCAGCTTTTATGCAGTGAAGTGATGCAATTAAAGGCTAATATTGCATCATCTCAGTATACATGACATTTTCTATTGGTCACCAGTATCAATTGCGCAATATGCAGCTGAAGTTGCATCATAATTTTGAATGGCTTACGTCATTAGATGGGTGAATATATCATGGAAACTAGAGCCAATCAACATTTTTTAGGGTCATTTTCGTTTTCAGCACCCCAAAATTATGT